CGTAAGTTTCAGGTCTAAGCAGCGAAATTTGAATTTTTCAGTCACTTTAAACCCAATAAGATACAATACTTTTAAAAGATGCATATATTCTTTTGATATTCTAAACCTAATCTAAGCATTTAAATTATTTAGAAACTTGTCAATAATTATAAAACTATATAAGATATATATTAAATATTTGGAAAATAATAATATTTTGATACTGATTCTTACTTTTAGGGAATCCTTAAACAACTGATTAGCTAATTAACCTTCATTTTCACACGTTTGTGACATGTATGTTCTGAACAATATTTTTTTCTGCGAAGCCTATATGTAGCGAAGAGTAACTCAAACCTAACTACCTTATAAGAGTACCTGACACTTTCTGTTCCTTATATTTATTGTCAGAAGATACGGTGTGATACCATGTGATTTTTTCCTGTTCGAAGTATTTTACGCGTAGAAAAAGAGCCAAGTTAGATTAAGAGGGTCAACCATATAAAAATGTGATATTAAAAAAAAGAACCAATTTATATAAATGAAGACACCCCGTAAAGATATAATGAAAAGTTGGGTAACTACTACTTCATTGCAACTAGAACATGCAGTAACTTGAATATAAAAACGGGGCCCCTTTATTTTAACTTGACTGTTTACACATGTAAAACGTTTTGATCAGATATCATTTTCTTCTGTTATTTGACAAGTGTTGGTGAGATATAAACTTTGTACTTTACGCGTAAATTTCGCGCAAAGCTACTTCATACCACGAGCTTTTTGTCAAAAAAAAGTCTGGTGAACATGAAGTCTAAATAATAACCGCAGTTCCAATCAGCTCTTCCTGTCTTGTTGTATACATTTTATTAAATTGAGTTCCCAACCTTTGCAAAATTTTATTTATTTCTTCCTCCGCTGATGAGAGAATGTGTAAATTCCGAAACGTCCGATGATTAAACATATTGTTTTGTTTTACCACAGTGGTCCTGTTCTATAATGAGGCTTCGTTTCCCACCTGACGAATTTATTGCAAGAGCTTAACTCTATAATTATTCAAAGGAAATATAAATACAGAAGTATAACGGATTCACAGAATTGTTTATACAACATATTTCTGATATGATCAGTTTCACAACGTGGATATGGCAAATAATTATTTTCACCTGCATAAAATATCAGTAACTCTTAGAGAAGTTCTATATTGCTTCTTTTATACATATAATACGTAATGGTGAAAGTTCAATGAAGTAAAGTCTTAATTGCGTCATGAATAATTTCTGGAATATAAATTTTACTTTCTCAGATGCTGTTTCCAAAGTACAAATTATCGATGTAGAGCTTTTACTAGCGTACAGTCATGGAAATCTATGAGAATTAAAGTTACATTATTATTCGTAGCTTTAGAGTAAAACTAATACAAGATGAAACGAATGACTAATTTTAAGTAATATCTATAGTTACAGAACACAATGGTCATTACTTTTTGTTAATTGCCTTTGCGCTACGTTTCTCATAATAATTAACAAAGATATACACCTTATTAATTGTGGAAGTTTCGGTCGCATGGTATGAGCTTTTCTTCCAATGTTTCATTACTTACGATTCAATAGCAAGGTGTAGGTGTGGCCCAGTCATCTGAACGTGAATTAGTGTTGTAATTATCTATTTATCCGTCTGATTGACTGGACCAGTTCTATAGAGGAACCCAGGTGGGTCCCACAAGAATGAAGTTTAAGTTGATAAGCAATGTCTGTCTGTACCGGGATCTAGGTCCTTGTCAGGACCTGGGAGGGTCGGACTCTATCGGAGACCTCTTCCTTCTTCCTTTGCTGTTGTTGCTATCCTTCGTGCAGCGATTTCTACACCATATTGATGATTTTATCTGCTAAATGTTAGACGTTACACGTGGCGGCTGTGTACCATTTACAGTCTCGGAGACACATCAATCCTCTCAAGGCCATGTGCATTCATGTATCACATACAGCATTTTGTATCGCATATATTTCTCTTAGTTTGGTGTGAATACTCCTGCACATTACAAACATTTCCATTCACCTGTCCGTTTACAAGTAAAGACAAACCTTTTCATAAAAGGAAGTAAATGTAGGGTTGACTAATATCAATCCTTCAAAAACAATCTAAACAAGATAGTAGAAATGGCATTTGGATCATCCTACATAATAGCACAAGCACTAATTAACATATAGCAATATATATATATATATAACTATTCAATGAAAACTGAGTTTAACATATCCCATTTTTGTCTGTTAACATTCTACTACACTGTGTGCCTGTGGTATTATGTAGGAATAGCATTTGCATCATCACTACATAATAACAAAAGGGTTCCATATTGATACATCTTTGGTAGGTGTAGTCTAGAGGAGGATTCCGTGTAGATATATCTCTGGTAGGTGTAGTCTGGAGGAGGATTCCGTGTAGATATATCTCTGGCCAATGTAGTCTGGAGGAGGATTCCGAGCAGATACATCTCTGGTAGGTGTAGTCTAGAAGAGGGTTCCATGCGGATACATTTTTACTGCGTTTCTTTCTCTTTTGTTTTAGAGAACAGAACTATCTGTGTTTTCGGAACGTATATTTTGATTCTATGTTTTTAACAATACTCAACTATTTCATTTAACATGGATTGTATATTTGTAGCAGCTTTCGGGGAACTCTTTCATACTGCTACATCATCTGCGAACTGTAAGCTGAAACAGAAGCTAGGATCTATTAATATCATTTCGCTAACCACCCTTCAGGGAGGGACATTCGCCTCTGGAGTAAAGTACTCTGAGTAAGCGCCCTCTACATTAATTCTACGTTTTCTATTGTTCCAAAAGTTAGATAGCCAGCGAGTAATTCCGCGCAGTAGGTACACCTGATAACATTTGGAACCTAAGATCGTTGTGTCGAATGCTTCCTCTATATCGAAAAAAAATGCGAAAGTGCATTTTTTTTATCAAAACTGTAAAACATGTAGCTCTCTTTTACAGATGAGTATTGTCTTATGTGTGTCAGAGTTGCGTCATTTAGCAAAACAGCGTTACCTTACTTTTACCGCCTAAATGCCGTGGATCGTGACTCGGCTCAGCAATGACGGCTGTAAAAATATGTGGAGTCCAAACGAAAGTGCCATGTAATGCCTCACGCAGCACGGATGCTTTGAATCCGACGAGTAGTTCGTATGCTACGGCTCAAAATAGCAGAAGTCCTTCCCTTCAACACACATTTATAACACTACATTTTAAGCCCGGTAATCTTTAATTATTTATGTATTGAAACGATATCATTACCAACATCAATGTGAGGTGTAGTTACCACAGTTCAGTGAATATCCTAATCTTATGTGATCTATTTACAATTATTAGATATTTAGGTTATCTAATAAGTCCTGAGATTTCATCTATTGTTACTCAATAATAGAGAAATGCCAGCTATTGTCAGGTGAACAGATGAATTGTCGTGATTTTAAAGAAACAGATAACCCTCACCTTACTAGATGAACATTTATTTTTGTTCGTAAACTAAAAAACATCTAGCTCGTTATTACAGATCAGTATTTGTTTATCATCTGACAACATTCTGATGAGAAGGAACCTAATCACTATCTCACATCATAGTGTGAGGCGTATTTTACAATATCACCTAATATCATGAAAAACAGGTATTCTGCGTGTCATATGACAACATAATGTGAAACGGATATTTGCGTTTCACATAAAAATGTAATGGGAAACAGATGTTATGCGTGCTACATTACACCATAATGTAAAAACGGGTATTGTGCGTGTCATATTACAACATAGTTTAAAACAGGTATTGTGCGTGCCATATTACAACATAGTTTAAAACAGGTATTGTGCTGCTATATTATAACATAGTTTAAAACAGGTATTGTGCGTGCTATATTACAACATAGCTTAAAACAGGTATTGTGCTGCTATATTACAACATAGTTTAAAACAGGTATTGTGCGTGCTATATTACAACATAGTTTAAAACAGGTATTCTCCGTGCTATATTACAACATAGTGTAAAAACGGGTATTATCCGTGCTATATTACAACATAGCTTAACACAGGTATTGTCCGGGCTATATTACAACGTAGTTTAAAACAGGTATTGTGCGTGCTATATTACAACATTGTTTAAAACAGGTATTGTGCGGGCTATATTACAACATTGTTTAAAACAGGTATTGTGCGGGCTATATTACAACGTAGTTTAAATCAGATATTCTCCGTGCCATATACAACATAGTGTAAAAACGGGTATTCTTCGTGCCATATTATAACATAGTTTAAAACAAATATTTACATTTCATATAACAGTGTTTTGTAAAACTGGTATTCTACGTTCCATATGAAAATATTGCAGAGTTAGAAGAGTTTTTCTAAAAAATAATTATTTTATGTTCTATAGACATATTACACTTGATATCTCGATGAAAAGCGTTCAAATTCAAAGTACTCTTTGAATTCATAGTTTTAGTATATAATGACAATATTTACAAATATCAAAATAAATAAAACATTTCAGAATTATTTCGAAAAATTGAGCTCTTTTTACAGAAAGGTTATTGTTTTTCTTTTGGTTTTCTTGTTCTATTCAATGTAAATAACTTTAAAGACTTCTAATGAGTTTCTTTTTGGTTGATTTTATCAGTTTTGCCAGTTTTTTGTTTGTCAAAGCATTTTTTCTTTGTGGTTATCACAATGTCACTAATTATCGATCTATCTAAGGTTTTATTTTATGTAAATTAAAACTCATTGGACCAGTTATTATCTAAGCACATCTTTTTTTTGTTATAAAAGGGTCACAGATTCAGAAGACTTGATAACGTTCTAGATTATCTACGCAGTGTTTTCTCATAAAAGCGTGAATTCATAAACATCAATTAATCATATAAACGTAGTATTTAGTGTTAGTAAAACATTGGAAATTAATGCATTTAATTTTCTTTCGGTGTGAAGAAACAGTTTAAGAACACAAACTGAATTCAAAACAAACGGATGTTGTTACTCAGAAATATTGTCTTTATTTGTTTAGACAAACAATCAAACAAGATGTAATGAAAAACGTAACTCGTTATTACGATATCTGGAAAAAAGGTGATTTCTAAAGTGCACTCAAAGTTACAATCTTCAAAAAAAGTAAGTAACCATTTAAATCGTTTACTGTTATTATATTTATGTTTGAACGACAGCATCAGCAACACAGGAAATGTTGAACAATAGATTATATTGCTAATTCTTCAGTCAATGTATAAAAAGAATATGTTAAATGTTTATCTGTAACATGTTGTCAAATACTTATTTTATGACTGGCAATATATATACTATGTTTAAATAAGATATTATTTAAATAAGCTATTAACTATACACAAGGGGCTCACACAATTCCTGGCTGTTCCAGCTACCATATTATGGTATGCGCCACGGTAACAAGGATTTTGTGTTTACAAAGTTCTGCGGTAAATGATTTTGAATGTTCTTCCGAGCAATTTGTGGAAGACGCTTTCTTATTTTGAATTTTGCTTTTTGTTGTTAAACACAAAGTTGTACAATGGGCGATCTGTCTATGCCAACCACGAGGATCGAGCTCCAGATTTCAATGTTTGTCAGTGACTTACTTTCACGATGAGATTCACTTTTGGATAACTAAGATCTTTATCTTTGCTGACATTGACTGATCTTCTGTCGATATTTTTTAACTGTAGAGCGTTATTTTTGTTTTTCATTTATTCATCTACCCCTCTCCAGGTTTTTGTTTTTGTTTTGTTTTCTTAAAATAAAGCTCTTCTGCTCTGACTGTAAAGAAGAATATAAAAAGAAAAAGGTGACACGCGGTTGCGAAATATGAAAGAAAGGAAAAACACATTCCAGAATACATTTCTCATTTGAACTCTATAAACTTTAACGGAATGTTCTTTCCAACTATGGTTATTTTAATGTAAAATTATTTCCAACTCTGTTAACTTTAACGGGAAGTTCTCTTCAAATCTGTTAACTTTAATGGAAAATTCTTTTCAAATTATGTTTACAGAAAGTAATACGTTGCCCAAGACTACTTTTCAATATTTTACCGAGTTCTTCTGTGGGGTTTGAAGGTAGATGGTCCTATATTTATCCTCTGAAAATTCACATTGTTACTGATACTTTTATTATCGTCGTTGTTTTTGGATTTCCAACAAATAACAGCATCAAACAAGACAACACAAAAGTAAAATCAAACTATAATTATGATCAGCACATTTGGACCTAGCACCTAAGTTATTCGTGAGGGTTTTGTTAAAGTGGACAGGGCAAAGGTTGGCTATGTGGTACAGCTCTGGATTTAGGATCTGCCGAACAAATTCAAATCTGTACGATACTACCAAATGTTCTCCACACTTTAATTTGCCGATGTGTTGTAAGAGGCCCACTAGTTCCCATGGCAGACTATGGATCTGAGGTTCATGGTTCGCGCTTCGTTACCGTAAAAAAAAAGAAGAAGTCATCCTCTGCACTTAGGGGCTGTAAAAGGGTTATAAGAGTGACGGTTTAAATCCTCCTATTCGATCTGCCAGAATTAGGAACGGCTAGCAAAATTCAACAATCAAGCGTTATAAGAGTAACAGTTAATCATAGAGTGGTAGGGTGCTGCTGGCTAGCTGTCTTCCCTCTGATCAAAAGTTTAAAATTATAAACGGCGGAAGATAACATTAGTAGCTTCACCACCAATACAAAATACAAAGATGTTAAAGTGAACATACTCGTTTTTGTTAGAAAACAATAAATAGCAAGTTCATAAAATTTCAAACGTCATGTATATTCACAGGATATATTTCTATGAAAGTGTTTATGATATTTAAAATCATGCACAATCAACAGGAAAAAGTTAGCATCCCAACAAAAAACTAACAACACGAGCGCTTTCGGAAAAATGGACTTTTTGGGAGATCATTTCTAAAACGCCCGTATTATTGAGTTCCTTATCTGGTGATTTCTACAAAACCACATACACGAGAAAGTTCATAAAAATATTAAAACAATAAACTGCACGAATGATTAATCGAAAGTCAAGTATAAACTTTCTAAGAACTTTGGTTCCCACTCGTAACACCAGATTTGGCAGTAAAGTAATAAACAATAATTAAGCATAGTTACGAATAACTACATTTTATGACGGAAAACTATTACATCTAAAATCGAAAGAAAATCTTGAAATTTTGTTGCGCGGTTATATTTCATTCAATCGATTCGATGCTTATTTTCATTCCTTAAGATTTTTTTTTGTGTAGCTTAAATTTTAACACCCATTGTTATAATCTAAAAAAAATAATATTTTAGCATCAATATTTTAGAAGCAAGCATTGCAACACTTGATTTATTAAAAGAGAATTAAGCCTTAATTTTCCAGTATGTACACGTAAGAGATCGAGTATACTAAGTTGAATACGAAGATTAGGCCTTAATCTTCCAGTATGTGCACGTAAGAGATCCAGTATACCATGTTGAATACGAAGATTAGGCCTTAATCTTCCAGTATGTGCACGTAAGAGATCCAGTATACCAAGTTGAATACGAAGAAAGATAATGGAAATGAGATTCGACACACTTTGTCAACCATCTTGGCGTGTTGCAAGTTTTTCAACATAGCAGAAGAGATACGTTTCTTGTTAGTACCTTCTCCATCTTCTTTCTCTTCTTCTTCTTTGTTAATCACTTGTTTGTTCCGCTGAAACAGACAGACATATGAGGAGTTATTCCCCTTTAAAATCTCTCAATGGAACATTCGTATTAATTATCTAATAGTTGTTTTACTTGGCCTGTGAAAATATTCTGCAAAGTTTGTTTGTTTGTTTTGAAGCTAAACACAAAGCTACACGATGGGCTATCTGTGCTCTGCCCACCATGGGTATCGAAACCCGGTTTCTAGCGTTGTAAGTCCGCAGACATGCTGCTGTACCATTGGGGGCGTCTGCAAAGTAAACTACTACGACTTAGCATGTATTCATTTGCATATAAGAGTGTTAATCAATTTTAAATGTTAACGAAAACAATTTAAAAAAAGACACAAGAATGTTTGAAAATCATGTTTTAAAGGCAGTATATCAATTATTTACAAGAAACAGGTTTTTTTCTGATCTAATTTATTTGGTAATTTTCTTTTCATTTCTCAGAAAGTTTAATAATAAGTGGTGATTTTTATTTTTACAAAATGAACTTGATCACACGTTCCTACTAATTATACTGAATAGCTAATCCCATGCCATGACTAGCTGAATATTGCAGTTTCGATGCCATGACTAGCTGAATACTGTGGTTTCGGGCTGTGTCTGCTATACATCGAGTGCTATATGTAACTCAGAAACCAATTTCGTTAATAAAGAATACAAATATGTGTTTTAGCAAAACCTTTTCCAAATATTAGAGGTGAACTCCAAGAAAGCATCATCACTGAGCATGCTCCGATCCAAACATCAGTGGTTTTAACAAAACAAATTCGTTGAAGTTGAGACCTGACTCAGAAGGGGCGTGACACTAAGAGTGACTCTAGCTAATTAAAACAGATTCAACCAGAAACCTGTCAGCAATTTGTTACCTGTCTAACTGTCCTTACAAACTAGCCTGGCATGGCTTGGTGATTAGAGCGCTAGATTCGCAATCGCGGGTTCGAATCCCGTCACTGAAAATGCTCGTCCTGTCAGCCATGGGGACGTTATCTTGAAATTTTTCTAATCATTACATTCTCAGTCTGATTAAATGGTAAACCCTCCTAATCACTAGCCCCGATTATATCCTCAACCGACCTAGATGGTAAATCTGTCTAATCACTGGCTCCGATCACATCTTCAACCTATCTAAATGGTAAGTCTGTCTAATCACTAGCTGTCATTACATCCTCGACCTGCCTAAATGGTAAAACTTTCTAATCACTAGTTTTCGTGACATTCTCAGCCTGCCTATATGGTAGAACTTTCTAATCACTAGCTTCCATTACATCCTCAGCCTACCTAAATGGTAAAACGTTCTAATCACTAGTTTTCGTGACATTCTCAGCCTGCCTAAATGGTAGAACTTTCTAATCACTAGCTTCCATTACATTGTCAGCCTGTCTAAATGGGGAAACTTTCTAATCACTAGCTTTCATGACATCCTCAGCCTGTCTAAATGGTAAAAGTTTCTAATCACTAGTTTCATGACATTCTCAGCCTATCTAAATGGTAAAACTTTCTAATCACTAGCTTCCATTCCATTCTCTCTAAAACTAAATGGTAAAATGTAAAATGATGCATGATTTTTCTTAGCTTTCTTACGAATACTCTAGTGCCACAAGTATGTGCTACTAAACTGTATTAAAAGAACTGGAATGTAATATCAGAATTTTTTCGAACCCCATTCTACGGTAAATGTGCAGACTCACATTTGCCGTAACTATAATTTTGTTTGTGTACTGGTTTCATTCCATAATAAAAGCATTGCGTTGTAAGGAAAGGATATCATTTTGAAAGGTTTTGTATGCGAAGCTCATATCTTTAATTGTCAATGTGAATCTTTATATTAATTTTTACCTTTCAGCTTAAGTTGAAAATTATATACATATATACTTCTGACTAAATAGGTTCGATTCCTAACATACACAGAAAAATCTGAAGCTCTTCAGGTGTTCTGATTTCATCCTACTCCGGGACAGGTAGTTCACCAGGGTAAACTCTAGAAGTGCACCGAACACCATTACAGAGCATGCTCCAATCCATACATCAATAGCTTTGACATAAGAAACTGGTGGAAGTTGGGTCCTCACTCCAGAAGCTACTGTGGTCAAGGTCAGAAGGGTCGTCACGCCAAGCGTGACCCTAGCTGGAACAGCATCCACATTCAACCAGAAAGAAACCCAGGAAATGGTAACAATCAGGAAAGTCGGCAAGTAGGTCTGAACCATATGGTAGCCATTCTGTCTCTTCAGAACAAAAGTCACGTTCAAATAGCTGAACAACCCTGAAGAGAGGGAAAATAATACCAACCTTATTACATCGAAAGCAATAGAACAATGTTTCTATCTTTTATTCTACTTTTAGTTTTAATAATTATTAGGATAATCTCTGAAGCACCATTTATCAGGAAATACCTCGACATATCTTACAATGTTAAAAATATCAAGTTAGAAATACCTTCACTTTATACAGATTACGGAAAATAACAAGAAACATTTCACACTGGTTATCATTTGACCTTATAGTCAATCTTAAAAGGCATCTATTTTCTTTAAGTCTATCATTAAACATAGCTAAATTTAACGAATGAAAACTAAAGGCATTAACACACAGCGCACACGTTAACCGCTCAAGATAAGCCTAGTATTTCTCGTAACAAAGTACATATATATAACCGATTGCGAGTGCTAACATCTTTTCTTACAGTGTACTCAATAGTAATCTCCAGAATTTGCATTTTTTACATGTAATGACAACACAACAAAACAGTTCAGTAGAAAACACATGTTTCCTAGCAGTACACGCGTGACCGATGGCAAAACTTGTATGTTACACCTTTTCCCGATGTATTTTATGACACATAGCCATTGTCAACACATACTAAGCAACACCATTAAATATATATTATAATATGGAACTATGCACGCAAAGGATTTGTCATTGCTGAATATATCTCCCTCATATTTTCTATACGCCTATCGAATGGTGTGAATTAGCACGTTTAGTCGCTAGAAGTCAAACTTATGTACTCTAATATGGTTTATTTACACTTTACTTTCTGAAGCTACGCCTCGAGTGACGAAGATCACCGCCATCTTTTAGCAGCGTGAGAACACTTTCACAAAGACATTCCTGGCGTCACATGAAGCTACTCATTTTGTTGTATTTTGTTTGGATTATTTGTTGCCCAGAAAGCATAAACTAATAGTTTTCCTGGTCCTCTGTGATGAAATAAACTTCAAAATTGTTTCTTACTTTATTTCTTTAATTTTTTAGACTATATTACGAGAAGCTGTTGTATTCTGTAATGTGACCAATCATACGGTTGGTTAAGTCTGTTATTTCCTTTCTTTGGATCTGACTCATTTGAATGCATGGGCTCACTAATGCGCGTGCACGATTTCACATTGTCTTGCATGCAGCTGTAATACGCCATTATTATTTTGTTTACGATCCAACGAATCGAAGTTAGCGCGTGTGATAACCCTTCCTACATTTCATCGCGAGGATACATTCTTTCAATTTTCAATAGTATTGACTAATCTTTCAAATACTTTATGTACTTTGTGATGCTGTAATCATTAGGGGTCCTACATCAATTTTACCTATTCCCAAAACACGCACCATCGATCCAACAATCAGTATTGTGTTCCTCACTTTACCATCACCGTGGATTATCCACTGGTCCCTACTAGTTGCATATATAACACTTTCTCTTCTCGACCATATTTGATTTAGAAAATATCAGAGACGATCCCTAGCTAAACTACGACAAGTGTTTTACAGTGTACACATGAGAACTTACACTTTTTCTTAGAGTGTAAACATCAGGAACTTTTCTAACATAAAATGTGGGGCATCAATCCCTTGCTTGCCAAAACCCTTCACCACCACTGAATAATTATTATCTGTGCCTTTTTGGCCCGGTGATTAGGGCGCTCGACTCACAATCTGCGGGTCGCGGGTTCGAATCCCCGTCACACCAAACATGCTCGCCCTTTCAGCCGTGGGGGCGTTATAATGTGACCGTCAAGCCCACTATTCGTTGGGTGGTGATGACTAGCTGCCTTCCCTCTAGTCTTACACTGATAAATTAGGGACGGCTAGCGCAGATAGTCCTCGTGTAGATTTGCGCGAAATTCCAAACAAACCATAACAAACCAAACTGTTCATTTTTATAACCTAGAAATATTAACTATGATACTTTGGTAACAAGTGAGGCACTTTAAGTTGTATTATCTTGTTCTTCAAATTCTTGTTCTGTTGTTTTTAACCCCCTTTTCTTCTAACTAAGGTCGCGTCTTACCATTTTCCCTCACCCCCACCCTCATAGTACTAATTTCTTAAACAAAGACCGTGGTAATTGTTAATGGTTGATCATAAAAATCTTGCATTGTTCCTTACAATATGTACAATACCGTTCGCGACAGTCTACACTCTTCCTTGTAAGTGACGTAATACTGATCTCAAGAATCTTTGCTAACATTGAAAAAACAAAAAAGGGATACACGTGGCTTCAAACGAGAACATCTTTGCTTACACCGTGTACATGACTGCGCCAAAGAACATATTTTATTTCCAAGGGACACACAACTCATTTCGAAAACCTATATTTGTAGTAATACACTATGATAACCTTTTTTGGGTTTGTTTGTTTGTAGTTAAGTACATAATGTGCTTTTTGTACTGTGTCCACACAGATATCGAAACTTGCCGCTGTGCCACTGGAGGGCTTTTGTTTTCTTCAGAAATATGCGTATAGTCATACTTTAAACAACGGTTATTTCTACCAAATATACATTAGAGGTTGGAAGAAGGAGCTCTTGAGAGAAAGGAAGAATATTGCTGAGCTCTAAGACAAAAGAGGAGGTAAGTAGAATTTTGCTGTAATAAAAGTTAAAAGTATCTATTTTAGTTAGATTAGTTAGGACTGGAAACTTTTGTGTTTTATTACTGCGGGTAAAGCTAAGCCTAAACTTGAGACAATTTAGGCTGAATACTAGATCATTAGGTATGCTTTCATGGCAGCGTTAAACTGTTTTGGGAGAACCCTATCATCAGAACAGATTGCATTGAAGTCCCTCTCCAAACACGGTCACAAAATGTTACTGTTGTCAAAAGTTTTCTGTGTGTTCTAAAACATTTGAAATCTGCATTTGGGCAAGGTTGGTGGACTTAGAAGACAACACTTGCCACTCTGACCCTTGAGATATTTACACAACAGTTTTGTAAACTTTGTGAGCTGTCAGAGCCACTCTGACCCTTAAGATATTTACACAACAGTTTTGTAAATTTGGTGAGCTGTCAGAGCCACTCTGACACTTGAGATATTTACTCAACAGTTTTGTGAACTTTGTGAGCTGTCAGAGCCATTCTGACCCTTAAGATATTTACACAACAGTTTTGTAAACTTAGTGAGATGTCAGAACCACTCTGACTTTTGGGATATTTACACAGCAATTTGGTAAACTTGGTGAGCTGTCAGAGTATGAAGAGGATATGGTTGCTCCTGTTAGTGAGTATATGAAGTGGAAAAATTAATGTACTATATCTACTAGAAGGAAACATTTCCCAAATTCTGAATTGAAAGTCTTTATTACGATTCACATACGTGAAGAATTGTGAAGTCGTGACGTTTATTTTTTCTTCCATTGGCCTTTGCGTCTGTGACATATCATCATTTTTACCAGAAACCGTACAGCTGGGGTAGAGCTTGTTGCAGGTGTCTTTCTGGATAGTGCTGGTGCCACAAGTTGAACCAGATGCCTTTTACAAAGTCATTAATTATAAGGGATATTCCTTTCTAAATCTCTAAATACATTTTTATGACCTTACTGTACGAATATTTTGGGTCAAAATGGGCCTTCCCTTAAGTGATCAATTTTTGGTGGCATCGCATTACTTACGTAACACCAAACAATGTAAAAATGTAGTTCTGATACATACCGTTCCACCATGATTTTAACGGCCTTGGTGGCACTTGACATACTTATTTGCATATCTAAAATCGTTTTAATATAAGTTCTCGGCCCTCTGTATATCACTTCGGGTTTATCAATAATAGAGTACATAAAGTTGGTTGAAATGATGGGTTTTGTTGTACAAAAACATCCTGTAAATGCGTATTTTACGCAAAAATCTTTGTTTATTTATTCCATATAATAAGACATTTAAAAATTTGATAATGGCTTTAATTTTATAACATGCTTTAGATGCATTTTCTATACCTTTCTGTTTCTACACTAACGTCTTGCTCTGGAGATTTTGAGAAATATAGTCACTGTCGACACGCAATTCTGATTATGCATAGTTGGAGAATCATGTTCTCTTCTGCATACTTATTGTATATTAATGGCTTTTTAAACCTTTTGCATACATACTTGTATGAGTAGTAGGGACACACGTGAAAATATCAAGTATTTGTCTGTATTATACTCCCTAAAACAAAAGGCACCCGTACAAAGCGTATCATATATTTCTCTGGCTTCGCGTGAATGGCGAGACGGTGTGCGTCGTTTGTCTGCTATGAGGAATAGCATGAGGTTAAATTGAAATAGTTGTTAAACTCGTAAGGACAAGAAAAATAAATGAAGTAAAGGGTTTCCGAGTCCCTCTGGGGCGTGTTCAAAAGTCCCTGAAAGTTTCGTATTAATTAGGGATTGGAAAGCTGGAAAATGTTTGCCACGGACAAATAAACACACATACACGCTGTAACGTACAGAATCAACTGTTTTAAGTGTGTTTGAATTACGTAATTTCATAATAAAGTAGTGTTTTATATTCAGGTTGTTACTGAAAAAAATAACATGAATATTTAATACTGCTTCATTTCTTTTAACATACAAGCAACCAAACAAACTCACGACAGTCGACAGTTTACAAGCAAGCCACTTACAGCTGGACTCGTGATACCCACTGCTTAGTTTGTACAAATAACAATAATAAATTAATGCCTGAGCTCTCACTACGCTATTTATTTTACCTAACAGTGTGTATTAGATATTTATAAGAAGTCCATTAGGATAAACTATAAATTTGCTTGTACGTATTTCAAACATTAAAGGCTATCTTTAATCAGTACATTAGGGGCTTCTGACCTAAGTGTTTAGCACACGTGCGCATAAATTGCTGTTCTGTTTGAAAGTCCCAAATTCAAGTTTTTGTATAATAATAAGATATGTTATCGAGCAAGTCTTGACATGAGTACTATTAATTAGATCGAAATACAAGCATATAGATATCTTACTTTTTTTTACGTAGATTTATAAACAAACTTGTAAAATGTCCAATAAACTTTAATGTTTTAACTAATCTGCATTATCGTTTAGGAGCATTAACGTGTGAAGCCCTTTTTGAATGTTCTCCATTAAAGCAATACATACTTCCGGTTTGAGTGCTTGTTCCCCTATAAAGTAACACGTACGTCCGGTTTGAGTGATTGTTCCCCTATTAAAGTAACACCCTCTTCTGGTTTTAGAATTTGTTTCCCTACTAAAGTAACACGCGCTTCTGGTTTGAATGCTTGTTCTACCACTAAAATAATACGCACTTCCGGTTTGAGTGCTTGTTCTACCACTAAAGTAACACGTAATTCCGATTTTAGTGTTTGTCCCCCACTAAAGTAACACGTATTTCCGGTTTCGGTGTTTGTTCCCCCAATAAAGTAACACGTACTTCCGGTTTGAATGCTTGTTCCTCCAATAAAGAAACACGTACTTTCGGTTTGAGAACTTTTATTTTTAAGAAAATCGATACTTTGTAATATTTTTCGAGTAATGTACTATTAAATGACAGTGCAATGATAAGGCAATCTTCAGGTTTTACGTCTCACAAAGGGATGTAAATACTACACCAGTTCAGTCATTATGAGACTTTATGCTATTTTTTATGTTAATTACTGATACTCTGTACATTAAAGAAATAGACAATGAACAGGTTTTACTTCTTGTTGAAATTTATTCACTGCTAGCCTGACGACAGCTACATGGAAGTTGCCGAAAGATTGCACTAAATTAATTTCAACTTGGAGAAAAACTTGTTCATTGTCAGTTTATTGAGTGTTTTTCGCCAACTTTTCTTTACCTGGGTAGTAATTTCGGTTTAAATCATTTCACTCCAAACTCAGGAAGAGGGGCGCGGCTGTTCAGAAAAATCATTTCTCTTCATCCTGCTTATGCGTAAGAATTATCGTGGAAAGCTTATTAAAAAACAAAACAAATAACTATATATAGTTACTTGCAAAAGTCTTCAACCACCCCCTCTATGCTGGTAATCAATTTTAATTATTTTCTTATGAAAGACATAGCTCAAATGGCCAAAAAATATTTATTATATTAATCTCAGACCAGTTTCTAATGATTACAAAGAACATTTGGTGCATTGTTACTCCCTTTAGTGATATAACACAAAAAAATCTTAAAAACATATATTGCAAAAGTTTTCACCCCGTAACATGATTATGCAGTTAATATTTGGTTGAACCTCCTTTAGCAACAATTACAGCTAAAAGTCGTTTTGGATAACCCTCCACAAGCTTTGCACACTATACTGGAGATATTTTTGTCTACTCCTGCTTACAGATATCCTCCAGTTCTTGTAAATTGGGGGGATGTCTTCAATGCACAGCAATTTTCAAGTCTATCCACAGATTTTCGCTTGGCCAGTCAAGGACTTTAATTTTGTTTCTCCGAAACCATTCTTGAGTTGCCTTTGATCTGTGTTTGAGATCATTGTCCTGTGGTAATGTAACCTTCGACCGAGTTTTAGTTTTTCAGCTGACTTCTTCAGGTTTACC